TTACTTGGTTCTGGTTGTGAGGAACCCCAAGAATCTCATGTCTTGACTTTGTCACTGCAAAGCCTCCAGAAATCTCGACCCCATCACCATAGCCGATTTCTCATCATGCATAACTTTCTGGCAATCCCGGGGGGCCAGGCGAGGGCCCCAGAGCCCGACAACGATAACAGTCCGTGCTGATGTTTCCAATGCCTGGGAGCCGAACTTCAATTCGGGGGGGGTGGGCGGGGCGGGGGCATGAGCTGCCCTCGACGCACTTCCGGCCCTCGGAACCTCAAGATCACAACTCCCCGTGGCCGCCTTGAATCGGTACGATCGACATGGATGCGGAAAGAATGGGCACGAAGACCAACAGCAACTCCGGTCCATTTGGAACAAGATTCGTTGTTAATGTCGCTACGGACGCTGCCCATTTGAAGCACCGGATCGCTTGGCGTCAGCCGCTGTCGGTTTTGGACATCAATCGATGGTGGGCATCGTACCCGATTCTTCCATACCCGCGTCGACCGTCCAAAAAGAATACCAAGATGGCCTCAGAAATGGCTCCAGCAGGACTCCAACACGCCAGAGCGGCCTCAAGAACACTCATGATAGTTTCACTCCAAGAGGGCATCACGAGGCAAACATCACTGATTTCCAAATTGTGTTTGAATATGCGTTCCGCGTCCTCGCCTTTTTGCTCTGGATTTGTTACACATCGACCTTTGCACTGATACGTTTGCATTCCCACCCTCCAGACAGAATTAGATAGTATACCAATACCCTCCCTCTGGATCCTTGCACGCGCGAGTAAGACTGAACCATCGTGCGAGACCACGACACTGAATAATATTGACCGACGCGGGCTCCAAACAAACGGTAACTTGGCGATACGAGAAAAGTAAACAACGCGCGCGCCGTGCTCGTGGGCGGCCGTCAACGCCGCAACAGGCCTGACGTCCTCAACAAAAGACACGCCAGCTACGCACAAGAACTTGCTGAGCACCCCAGGTGCCGTGCGATGATGGACGATGCATTTCGTCGCTGACGAGCGCAGCAAGCCGATCCACTGATACGCTGTACTATATAATGGTAGTGGGTTGCGCACTGCATTGCCACAATGCCCTTGACGGCGCTCGCCTCTTCCTCGTCCTCCTCGCTTTCCTTCTCCTCCTCTTCCTCCTCATAATCATCATCATTCACGATATCCTCCTGAATCTCTCTTCCTTGATAACAACTCTCCAGACGTGTCCGTAGGGAGGGCTGGGCGTTTCGCAACATTCATCCTCGCAATTTACGATCCAGAAGCTCGAAATTTGAAACCTTTTGACAGATGGAAGGCGGATCATTTTCAAACTGTGGCTCTCGCCTTAGCGCTGCGCGCATTCGTTAAAAGTCTGCAACAATTTCGCGGCTGGAGGGTAGGTGGTTTTCAAAATGCTGCTCCCACCTCAGCGCCGCGCAAATTCGTCTTAAAATGTTGCAGCTGTTTCAAGGATAGAGGGCGGGTGGCATTCAAATTGTTACTGTCGCCCAGACGCCGCGCACATCCGTCTTAGAAATTTGCAGCAGCTTCGAAGATGGAAGACGGCTCCTTTTCAAAATTTGTCTCTCGCCTTCGCGCCGCGCACCTTCCGTTTCAAAGCTTCCAACAATGTCAAGGATTCATACGGTCGAAGTCCCAGAACATGCGTTCTGGCACGACTCAGGATTGCCCGGACCAAATCATCATGTTGTTTCGCGGTGGTCAAGTCCCAGGAACAGCGCTCTCACACGATTCCGGATTGTCAGGACGCGCGACAGTCACGTTGATCCGCGGCGCTGGAGTCCCAAGGACTGCCTGCGTTTTTCTACGATTGCGGATTCTCAGACACTTGTCTTCTAATGGGTCACTTCCCGCAAGGAGAATGAATTCCTTTCGGGACCTATGAAGACGGGCTTTGAAGAGAGGGTGTCATCATAGATACGTCTTGGGTTTACACTTATCCTCCTCCTCCTCCTCACCCTCCTCCTCTCCCATGTCCTCGTGTTTCATGTCGTTCCCTCCCACTTTCGCGCTTTACATTCCTCTTTCCCTCCCACCCTGACCGTGCCATTTGCTGTGTTCCCCTGATCACAGGAAGCTGCACAAAGCCCTAGGCAATCATTGAAAATGCAGAGTTGGCCACAGACGGATGGCCACGCCCATCGACGGCGCCAAACTCCATCGGATGGCTGCGTCCAAAAGTAAACGTCACCGTGCCATCGACGGCGCCAATCTCCTCCCACCGTCGTGGTATTCACTGCAAGCGATGTGGCGGGATCATGGAAAAGAAAAGAGAGCGAGGAGTCAGGATAACGACTGACAAAGAGAAAGCAACACGGGACGCTCGAAAGGAGAAGAAGTGATCGAATAGAGGGACTGCTGCGAAGCGCAAGTGCCCAAGCCGACGAATGGCCCGGGCAAGATCCTGTGCGCCTTTCGCCACGCGCACGAGGAGCCTAAAACGACGAGCCGTCTCCAACAACTGTTTACAAGGGGCTAGCCACCGCCGTCCCCTAGCTCGTTGGAGCCGCCTAGGTGGCCAAAGATACTGTCAGAATTAAGCAGGGGCGGAAACCTCCAGTTTGCACTGTGCTGCCATACCGGATGAGAGAAGCATGGTATCGCTACGAAGACATGGTCTCCCGTCCCGATTATCCAGAGATGGGAAAACGAGTTGGACTTGTTCCTCATCTCATCTTGGGCAATATTGCGACATGTTGGAAGCAATTTTGAGCCGCTAGGAGCTAACTGTCAAATCGACGAGGCTGAGTCGGTGGATCTCGTGGCACTGAAGATGTCTTGAATACTAAACCTGGCAATATTCTTGAGAACTATCTCGGGACATCTGAAAAACGCATCATGTGTTGTCTTGCGTAATTTTGGCGGCACGGGTCGGAGCCGTCTTGGGCAAACATCGGAGGGTTCGGGGCCCGTGTGAGGCCTGTTGGTCCTCTCTTGTACCTAGTTGGACCCGATTTGAAGCCATCTTGGGCCCTGCCGAAACAATGGAGGGGCCTCAATGGTGGGCTCCCAAACACACATGACGATGCATTACTGTATTGTAAATCCTGGAAGCCACATGAAATGTATTTTGAGCATCGCATATGTTTGATCCCCTGGACGTGTGGGATGCGTCGTGCGTACATCTTGGGCTGTCGTAAGGGTCGCTTCAACCGTCGTAAATACAGTGCTGGGTAATCTTGAGCCGTCATCACTTTTGGGCGCCGTCCTGAACTCTCCTGGCCCGTCTGGTCCTCCTCCTCTGGGCGCCGTGTCTTTCTTGCACGGGGACGGCGGCAATGGCTAAAATGCCTGCACGCAATAGAAGAAGAAGAAAAAGGCCATAAACATGAACATTTGGCGCTCCGCGCGGATTTCTTGGATCCGCGCTGGACCCCCTCCCTGGCGCGCGGAGCGCGCCAGGGGCGGCGCCCCAGGCGCCGCCAGGGGGGCTCAGCGCGGATCCAAGCAATCCGCGCGGAGCACAAACAAACATGTCTATGGCGTTTTCTCTTCCTCGGATCTTGAAAGAATCGCATACGTAAAACTTGTTTAATATCACATGTGGGTCGGCACGCCTGGGCTCGCCTGTGCAGAAGAAGGCACAACCTCCGAAGACACAAGCTTCCGGAGCTCCGCACGGACTTCTCTTGCACCGGCGCCGGACACACTCCTCCCGGAGCGCGCCGGGGGCAGTGCCAGAGGCACCGCCAGGGGGCCCCGCGCCGATCCGAGACATCAGCACGGAGCTCTGAAACATTACACCCTGCGAAGTGCTTAAGAAATCATGGGTTAAGAAATTCATAGTCTCAGAACTTGAATAAAAACCCAGAATGTCTATTCAAATCGTGGGATTTACATTGAAAAGTTAAGAATAATCGAGACTCTGGCCGAAAACTTAGGTTTTCTTAAGCATCGCATAAGGTGTATGCTGTCTCAGATTGCTTCTTCCGCGCCTGTGGCTGAACGCCACCAGGGGACGGCGCGTCTCCACCAGGGTGGGTCCGGAGGGCGTGGATGCTCTTGCACCGCGCCGGCTCTTCCGCCATAGCCCTGCGGCCACAGCACGAAAGTCGGGAAACGACACGCGCGCACGCGCACTACGGAAGCCCGCAGTTGGGCCTAAGCCACGCGGGCTGCAAAGACATGCATGAAGACTAAGCGGCGTCTGGCTCGGTCGCGGCGCTCGTGTTCACGGAGCCACTCGCAACTGCAGAGTCGCTCAAGATGTGGTTCCTCGCTGCCGTGGCAGTGTGCAGGATATTTCACCGCACCACTGCAAACGGCGGCCGATCTAATTAGGGCAGCTGCTCATCGACATATCTTCGGGCTTGAAAACAAAATGCTGGGCCTGCCTGCGCCATGCGCCAGCATCCTCGGCCTTGGAAAAGGCAAAGCTGTGTTTGCCTGTGCCGTACGTCAGCATGCGAGAGCGCACAAGTCTGCCCGACCCGGCAAACCTCTCTAAGTATCGCCAGCCACGTAGGAGTGCTCCTTCGAGCGGGTCCAGTGGCACAGATGGTTGGCGGCGCTCACAGGGGGCGGCGCGAGGGGGTGGGCTGTAAGAAGGCGGGGGGCTTCTGAGAAGGCAGGGGCGCTCTTAGAAGGGTCTCGCAGCTTCTAAGAAGGCTTCCCAGAAATTAGGAGTGCTTCCAAGAAGCCGCCTGCCTTCCTGGACCCCTGCCTGCCTCCGTACCCAGACCCCCGACGTCATGATTTGTTCATGACGTCGGCTCCCACGTGGGCGTCGCAGAATGGGAGGGCGATAAAGTGGGGAGGGAGAGAAAGGTGCACCGGGCCCTAGAGGCTCCCTTGTGGGCCCTCAGGGGCCCCTTCAGGGGCCCTAAAGGGCCCCTTTTCTGCAGTCCTTTTAATCGCTGCAGCCCTTTTTATCGCCCCCCCCCATTACGCAGTGCCCAACCCACAAGTCCCGACCCTTTCCGCGGTACACCCTGCGAAATGCTTAAGAAATCATGGGTTAAGAAATTCATAGTCTCAGAAATTGACTAAAACCCAGAACTTCTATCAAAATCTTGGGATTTACATTCAAAAGTTAAGAATAATCGAGACTCTGGCCGAAACTTTAGGTTTTCTTAAGCATCGCCTAAGGTGTACCGGCCTCTCATCCAAAATCTTTATTTGACCGTCCCACGGCCCAGAGAGGCCCCAAGACCCGGAGAGGCCCCCCTCTCAGGGCCGAAAAACTCTCCAGACACCGTCCGTCGCGATTCTTTCAGGACCCGAGGGGTCTGCGTCAGAAGGTCGCCCCCGTGTGCGCCGCCAAGATGGCAGCGGTCGCAGAACTGCCCGACCTTGCAGCCGATCGCCTTGAGGGCATTTTTTTTCCGGCGAGCAGCGGGCGTTACGGAGGGACAAGGGAAAAACGAGCAGGGGGGGGGGGGCGTGACACCCCCACCCCCGACCGTGACAGACCGTGGTGTCAGCCAGACGCACTGCGGCAATGCCCAGGACGCACTGGAGGAGGGAGGGGGGGAGCGATACGTTTTGGGGGGCGGGAAGGGAAGGGAGGGGGGGGTGGAGGCATCACGCGCGTGACGGCCCAAATCCAGACACGCGATGCCCTGATTTGTTTAATACGCTGTCCAACGAAATCCCGACTCCTCCCCAAGACCTGATTTCACCGCGAGCCGTTCGTTGACGGTCCCGGGGCGGGGCCCAACGAGGGCCCCAATGGGGCCGAAAACAACGGAAAGCCTCCGTGCTGGCTTTTTGTCACGGCGCGAGCATGTCTGGGGAGGATCGAAAAGCACAGGGTTAGGTGGGTAGGGCATCCCCCCCTACAGGCGGATGTTGGACGATTTTTTTTTAACCAAAATGAATAAAACGAAAAGTAGACCAACAAATAGTTGAAAATGCTAGACAAATCGTCCCCAGACTATTTTTCAATATTCCTCCTGTAGAGGGACATGCCCGACTTCAGCATAGGGCGACGAAATCAGGCCCACCCCGGGCCCAGCAGCGGTGTTATGCGGCACGCCTACTGGCCTGGCCAGGAGGGCGTATATACAGCTCGTGGGCCCAGGAAGGTCAGCGAAATGCTGACGGCCCCACATCTGTAGACCCGCGAGACTGGCTTCAAAATGTAGGGGCTCCAATTCACATATAGACCCCGACCACACGGATCCTGAAATATCGACCCTCGCGAGACCAGAGCACCCTGAAAGGTAGACCCCGACCTGAAGGACCTTGGCATGTAGACCGCGCACGAAGGGCAGGGGTCCACCTCTGGGAGTGCGGCGTCGGGCAAGCTTGCTCTTCAAAAGACGCTGGTTCTTTCCTGAGAAGGACCCAGCCAGGGGGCAGTAGATTTCGTCGCCCGAGGAACAAAATAATAATAATAATAATAATAATAATAATAATAACAATAATGATGATGATAATAATAGAAATAATAATATTAATAATATTATGAATAATAATAATAATAATAATAATAATAATAATAATAATAATAACAATAATAATACTAATTCTAACTATAAAATAAAAATAATACTAGTAATCATAATAATAATAATAATAAGCGGCATAGGCATAAATTTGTAGCGCTCCGCGAAGATTTCTTGGATCCGCGCTGGACACCCCTCCCCGGCGCTCGGAGCGCGCCAGGGGCGGCGCCGGAAGCGCCGCCAGGGGTGGGGGGCCCGCGCGGAGCGCCAAAAGTTTATGTTTATGTAGTTCTTTCTTTTCCGAGAGAAGGGCCTGGCCAGTGGGCAGTCGATTTCCCAGTTATGCGACGTCCTGATTTTTTCAGCACGGGGGTCCCGGGAAGTCCCGACCCTTTCCCCGGGACCGGTTTATCATCCTGCGTAGTCCCACCAGCCCTCTGGGCGTAGGTGGACTAGGGCGCTTTCTCTTCTAACTTCCTAAGAACCCCTCTCCCTTCCCTCTCCGCTGGACCTCGCTGCGCACCCTGCAACACCCTGCAAAGGGGGGGTACAAAGAATCCGAGCGGACCCTGCGATACCCTGCAAAAAGGACCCCTGCAATACCCTGCAAACGACCCTGCAATGTCCTGCAAAACGGCCTTGCAATACCCTCTCCCTACCCCATCCACAGGATCTCGCCGACCCCCTGAAATACCCTGCAAAGACTCCCCCCCTTGCAAAGCCGATTCCACGACAAAGCCGATTCCACGACTCTGCAATACCATGGAAACCAGACCCCTGCCATACTCTGCATCAACACCCTGCAAACGACCCTGCAATACCCTGCAAAACGGCCCGGCCATATCCCGCAATACCGTGCAAACCAAACACTGCCAGACCCTACAAAACGACCTTGCAAAACCCTGCAACACCCTGCAGACGACCCTTCACCGACCCCCCTGCAGTACCCTGCAAAGACCTCCCCCTTGCAAAGCCGATTCCACGACAAAGCCGATTGCACGATTCTGCAATACCATGGAAACCAGGTGGATGATGATGATGATGATGATGATGATGATGATGATGATGATGATGATGATGATGATGATGATGATGATGATGCTAATGATAATTACTGAAGATGATGAGGATGAGGATGACGATAAGGATGATGATGAGTGTCACGCCTCAGGAAACCAAAAGTGACCACGCGAGTGAGTGAGGACTGATTGAGTGAATATGAGGTGATGGGCATTGTCATCCTCATGATCTTGATGACTGTGTGAGTGTGCGAGTGTGTGAGTGACAACCATGATGGTGATGAGAGCGGATGAGTGGATGGATGCATGCATGCATGAATGAATGATACTGCTCATGAACATGATGACGATACCTGACGATGACGAGCGAGTTACCCCATCCTCGCCCTGAACCTCCTCCTCCTCCTCCACCTCTTCCTCCTCCTGCTCCGACTCCGACTCCGACGACGACGACTCCTACATCCTCCCCCACTCGGGGTACATGGCGGATTCCCCCGCACTTTGTTCTTCTGCATGCTCCCCCGCTTTGCTGATCGCCTCAACTCCCCTGGGCAGCGTTTTTGGATGAGTTGGTTGGGATTTTGGGTACGCAGGCGCACGATGCGAGTCGGACGCCGGGCAAGCAGGGGCAGGCTATGCCATTATGCCACCTGCGAAGGAAAGACAGGGCCCCCCGAGGCCAAACACTGACAAAAACCTCCCGCCCTGATCTTTTCACGACGCGATCGTGTCTGGGTTCGTCGCCCGACGAGCGGTCTCCTTGGAGGCATACTTGCACGCGCGCCCGCAGCCGCCGGGGTGCCCCACGGAGCCGCGCGAGGGCCAGCCGCCCGGGCCACGCGCGGCCGCCGCCGCCGCCCCGGCCGCCGAGCTGGGCGGCAGCTGCACGTAGGCCGGGCCCTCCTCGCAGCGCAGCCGCACGTAGGCCGGGTCCTCCTCGCGGTCCTCCGCGCAGTCCTCCTCCTCGTCAGGTGGCGCTCTTCGATCCCCGAGATCCTGGCCTTGCAGTCTCGTCATGGCCGGCGCTCCGCCCTTGTTCGGGCCCTTGGGACCCTCACAGGTCGATGCGGCTCGAAAGATGGGGTCCATGGCTCCAGTCCCGATCTTTTTTTTGTTTTGCTTTTTGTTTGTTGTGTATTTATATGTTTATTCATTTATGTATTTATGTATTTATTTTATATATATATATATACAAAGAAGCTTCAGTCCAGATCTTTTGTGATGTTGTTTTTTTTTGCAACGTCGGATCTCAGGGTCAGACCGTGTACAGCAGGTTCGTGTCGTGTCGACCCCAGCGTTGGTCCCTGACACCGCGGGGATCGTTCAGCCTTGAACGATCGGCCGTGTCCGAAACGTCAGACCGTTCGACATCGACCGATTCTGGGTCGCCGGGGGCGTGCAACGGGGTCGCCGCCAATCGACACGACGCCAACCTACCGTAATAAGGATGCGCGGTAAAGATGCAAGGGCTTTGGAGGACCATGTCAACGATTTTCGAACGAGGTTGGCCAGCGAAAGTCGCTGAGGATGGGCCCAAGGGGCAAGGATGCAACGGTAGCCTTGGAAAGTCGCTCATCCTTACTATGCAGGTTGACTGTCAGACGAAGCCAGGACGAGGATATAATCTAGTGAAGATAAGTCGATAATCTCTGAGATCTGGCCGCTCTGGAGAGACTGCGCCGACCCCTTGTGGGTCTCTAGGCGTGTGAGAGTATCCCCCCCATAATCCCTCCCAGGGACCCCAAACCGGCAGTTCGACCCCCCCCCCCTCGCCCAGCCCGACCCAGGACCGAACGCGCCACGGGGGAGCGGAGGGCTCCAAAACTGGCCAAGAAGGCACCAAAACGCTCCCCAGACCGTTCCAAGGGGGCCACGATTCGCCGAAATATCGGCCTGGACGCCCACGATGGCCTCCAGGCGGCCTCCGAAGCTGCCAAGACGCCCCAAAGGCCCCCAAGATGCGCCCCAAGAGGGCCCCAAGAAACAAAAATCGTCCCATCCCCTTTGAAAAAAAAAACATGTTTCGCATGCTCGCCTATTAGGTTTTCACAACGTCCCAGACAGGCAAAGAAACCTTCAATATCGCCCCCAGACGGCCACAGGGGCCCCCAAGAAGGGTCGAAGAGGGTCCAACTACAGCCCCCGAAGCCCCCAAGACAGCCCAAGAGGGCCCTCAGACGACTCCAAGACGGAGCCCAGAGGGCACCTTTTCGGGCCTTCGGCCCCAAGACGCCCCCAGCCTGCCCCAAGAACAGCCCAACAGGCCCTGAGGGACCCCCAAGAGAACCTCAAAGGCATCCAAGAAGCCCCCAGGAAGCCCCAGAGAGGCCCCAAAACTTGGCCCAAGATGCCTCGAGGCGGCCGGATATGGCCTGCAGACAGGCCAAGCTGCCAACAAGAGAGCACCGAGAGGTACGATAACAGCAACGAAGCAACAAGAACGATGTCGAGCGCCGTGTCATGATTCGGACAAGCCTCGTGAAATGCAGTCCTGGAGGCGCAGTAGTTTATGTAGGGGTCGGCGGATGTGGCGCAAGCCTATAGAATCTCGGGCGCCGCGGCCTTCTCAGAGCGTTCTGGAACGCTCTGAGAGCGTTCCAGAACGCTGAGGAACGGCGTTATCCTCCTCCTAGCCCCGTCCGACGTAGGCCGCCTCCGATCCAGACCCTCTCGGGCCACGGACAAAACCACCCAGGGCGGTTTCTGCCAGCTTCCCAGGGGGGCGATCAATGGGGAGGGGAGCGATGTTGGGCGATCATGGGTGATCAATTGGTCACCGCGCCAGCGGGGTGCTTGGCCCGCGGCGTGACCAGCGCGGTCACTGCGAGCGAGAATGGGAAGGGCACCTACGGGCAAGCGACGAGAAATGTCGGTGGGTTCCACAGCGAGACCGCGCCCGCCGTGAACCTTTGGCGGGCCCCAGGGGCCCCCTTTTATGAGGCCCTTGCAGGGTACAGAAGCTGCGCCTTTCTTCGCCCTCCACATTGCGCCACGCCCGATTCGGCCCTTTGGGGGGCCCTCGCCGGCCCCCGGGACCGTCAGAACGCGACTCGGGACGAGAAGCCGGTCTTGGGGAATGGGTCGAGACCTGTGGGGGTCAACGTCATGAAACCATCATCCCTGAGATCCGACGTAGCGGAACAAGAATTCTTGTTCGGCTACGTCGGATCTCAAGAGTGATGCATTTTTACGATGTTGCATGAATGCAACATCGTAGAAATTCACGCCTGGAGCCCTAGATCCCATCTTTCTGATTCATTCTTCGAGCCGGAGCGATCTGTCAAGGTCCCGGGGCCCGAAAAAAACGAAAACGCCCAACTCGAAATTAGCGTGGCGAAGGACCCATCTCATGCAGCTGCGAGTATCGCGGGAAATGACTTTCTTATCATAAGAAGCGCGCCGCGAGAGAGATGGAGCACGGGGCAACGCGGATGTGAGCCCCGAAGCGTGCGCGGGGTGTAATTACCCAAATGAGCAGGGTTCGCATGTGGACACTGCCACTGGGGCCTTCGTCCAGGGCTCCCTGTGGAGCCACGACGAATCTAAAGCGTGCTGAAATGGCCCGAGACCGCTATCAAAACACTGCCACTGGGGCTTTCGGTGAAGCTCCCTGTGGGGTCACGATCCTCGTGAGTGGTGCGCCGCAGTGGCCTGAGGCCGCCATGCGAACCCTGCCAAGAGCCTTCGGTGAAGCTCCTTTGTGGGGCCACGATCCTCGTGAGGGGTACGCCGAAATGGCTCGAGGCCGCCATGCGAACCTTGCCGCTGGGGCCTTTGTCCAGAGCTCCCTATGGGGCCACGATCCTCGTGAAGGGTGTGCCGGGATGGCCCGAAGCCGCCATGCGAACCCTGCCACTGGGGCCTCCGTCCAGAGCTCCCTATGGGGCCACGATCACCCTGACAGGTGTATCGAATTGACCCGAGGCCGCCATGTGAACATGCCATTGGGACCTTAGGTGAAGCTCCTACGGGGACACGATCATGGTGAATGGTGTGCCGAGATGGCCCGAAACCGCTATGCGAATCCTGCAACTGGGGCCTGCGTCCAGAGTTCCCTATGGGGCCACGATCATCGTGACAGGTGTGCTGAATTGGCCCGAAGCCGCCACGCGAACCTTGCCATTGGGACCTTCGGTGAAGCTCCTATGGGGCCACGATGCTTGTGAGGGGTGCGCCGAAATCGCCTGGGGCTGTCGTCCAGAGTTCCCTATGGGGCCACGATCCTCGTGAATGGTGTGTCGACATGGCTCGAGGCCGCCATGCGAACCCTGACACTTGGGCCTTTGTCCAGAGCTCCCTATGGGGCCACGATCCCCGTGATGGGGTGTGCCGAAATGGCCCGAAGCCGCCATGCGAACCCTGCCAATGGGGCCTTCGGTGGAGTCCCCTATGGGACCACGATCATTGTGAATGGTTTGTCGAGATGGCCCGAAGCCGCCATGCGAGCCCTGCCACTGGGGCGTCTGGTGGCGCTCCTTATGGGGCCACGATCATCGTGAGAGGCGCACCGAAATGGTTGACATGCGAAGGCAGAAGCAGGGATGGGAGAAGGGAGGAGGGGGGGAGGAGGAGGAGGAGGAGGAGGAGGAGGAGGAGGAGGAGGAGGAGGAGGAGGAGGAGGACAAGGAGGAGGAGGACGAGGAGGAGAAGGAGGAGATGGGGGAGGACGAGGTGGAGGTGGAGGAGAAGGAGGAGGCGAAGGAGGAGGAAAAGGAGGATGAGGAGGAAGAGGAGGAGGGGGAGGAGGAAGAGGAGGAAGAGCAGGAGGAGCAGGAGAAAGAGGAGGACAGGACAGGACATCCGCACAAGGGGGGGGGGTCAACATCAACACACCTAGACTGGTGCCTTGCGCGCGTCTGCGAATTCCCCCGCGATTTGGTTGTGCAACGGCCCCGAGTTCTCACTAGGGCCGACAGGAGGCATACCTCGAAGTTTCAAGGGGTGAGTTCCGAGGTGGCCCCGTGAGAGAGGCTCGCTACCTTGTGAATACGAGTCCCTACGGGTCTGCGCGGGGGGAACAGCTGCTGGCCCTTCCGCGTGCCCTGGGAAAGGGGACGCGCTGGGCAAGCAAGGCTCCCAAGCTAATTAGGGGAGAAGAGACGACAACACGACCACTCAAAAGGAGAAGGGGAGGAGAAACAGGAGGCCCCTGCTTTCCAAACGTTTGAAGGGGGGCCTAATGATCCTACTCTATCATGTTTTGTCTTCTCTCTCTCTCTCGGCTCAAGGAGGAGGAGGAGGAGCAGCAGGAGGAGCAAAGGAGCAGGAGGAGCAATAGGAGGAGGAAGAGGAGGAGGAGGAGGAGGAGGAGAAACGCGGGGCGCTGTCTTTTCAAAACGAGGACCCAACACCACAGAATGGTTGGGACACCTTGAAACGCCAAGATCTAAAGGATGACGTCGGGGGTCTGGGCTCCGAACGCGCTGCGGTCGGCGAAGCCTGCAGCGCGGGCGCCAGGCTAAGGCGGGCGGCGGCCGCTGGCGGCACCTGCTGCGGGGCCCGCTCTTCGGACGAGGCCTCCCCGGCCAACGCCTCCTGCAGAGCGCTCGGCGCCTCTGGTCGCGTTGCGGCCGGCGCGGCCTGCAGCAGGGGTTCCGGGCTCAGGCGGGCGGCGGCCGGGGGCTGCTGCAAGCGCTCCTCGGCGTGCCGCCTCCGTCCTCCTCCTCCTCCTCCACCTCCTCCTCCTCCTCCTTCTCCTCCTCCTCCTCCTCCTCCTCCTCTTCTCCTCCTCCTTCTTCTCCTCCTCCTCCTCCTCCTCCTCCTCCTCCCTCACCTCCTCCTCCTCCCCCTCCTCGTCCTCCTCTTCCCCCTCCTCCTCCTCCTCCTCCTCCTCCTCCTCCTCCTCCTCCTCCTCCTCCTCCTCATACTACATCGTCCCAATGACAGTTCCTTGAATTTTTATCACGGCGCTCACCAGCGGAACTGGACGAAAGCAAGCAAAACGAGGCGAAAGACGGCAAAAGGCCGTCGGATAGCCTGCAAAAGATAACGGAAATAAATGACACCCCTTCCGACTCTTCTTCCGTGGGCCAGGCGGGATCCGCCTAGCCGATTCCCTTCTAAAAATCATAGCTTTAGTTCAGAAAGTCAAAATCCCACTCTTTTCAATAAAAAAGGTGAAACAGAATCCTGGGTCGTTCACGGATCCCGCCATGCTGGGATCGGCTCGAAATACGATGGTGCTCGACAATTGCAACATTCCTGCCTTGAGATCATTTCCTGGTCATGACGCAGCCGTCGCGTGGCTATCAGAGGCCTCAGAGAAGCCTCTCAGAGAAGCCGCTGAAAAGGCCTCAGAGAAGCATCAGAGAAGCCTCTGAAAGGCTTCAGAGAAGCCTCAGAAAGGCTTCAGAGAAGCCTCTGAAAGGCCTCGCTGAGGCCTCTCAGTGGCCTCAGAAAAGCCTCTCAGAGAAGCCTCTGCAAAGGCCTCAGAGAAGCATCAGAGAAGCCTCTGAAAGGCTTCAGAAAAGCCTCTGAAAAGGCTTCAGAGAAGCAGCTGAAGGACTTCAGAGAAGCCCCTGAAAAGGCTTCAGAGAAGCCTCTGAAAGGCTCCAGAGAAGCTTCTGAAGGGCTTCAGAGAAGCCTATGAAAAGGCCTCGCTGAGAGCTCTGCAAAAGCTGTGGATCGATTGCAATCACGGTGTTCTTCAGAAAAGTGTGTATAGGAATCCTTCTGGTCGCGATCAGCCCGTTTCCCAAGGTTGTAATCCAACCGAAACAATTCCTGAACAGTCCGAAGTCGTTGTAATCGGTCTGATTCCCTGGGTTCGGGCCGCCATTCAGTTGGGAGGGGGATGGGGGGGGCTGCCGCCATTCAGGATTTGAAGGGGCGAGCCATTCAAATGGAGGGGTGGGGCTGCCCCCACTCAGGTTTGGGGGGGGGGGGGCGGGGCTGCCGCCATTCAGGTTTGGGGGGAAAGGGGAGGGCTGCCGCCATTCAGGTTTTGACGGGGGGGAAGTTTGGGGAATCATCCTCCTCCTCCTCCTCCGCCTCCTCCGCCTCCTCGTCCTCCTCGTCCTCCTCCGTCTCCTCCTCCGTCTCCTCCTCCGTCTCATCCTCCTGCTGCTCCTACTCCTGTCCTGATCCATTTTCCCTCTCCTCCTCCTCCTCCTCCTCCTCCTCCTCCTCCTCCTCCTCATCCTCATGCTCATCCTCATCCTCATCTCATCCTCATCCTCATCCTCATCTCATCCTCATCCTCATCCTCATCATCATCATCATCATCATCATCATCATCATCATCATCATCATCATCATCATCATCATCATCATCATCATCATCATCATCATCATCATCATCATCATCATCATCATCATCATCATCATCATCATCATCATCATCATCATCATCATCATCATCATCATCATCATCATCATCAGCATCATCATCATCAGCCCCCTCCTCCTTGTCCTCCTTCTCCTCCTCCTTTTCCTGCTCTTGCTCCTTCTCCTGCTCATGTTCCTGCTTATGCTCCTGCCCCTGCTCTTGCTCCTGCTATTAATCTTCCTCCTCATCATCATCATCATCCTCGTCCTACTCCTCCTGCTCCTCAGCACTAATACAAATACCACAATGCGAACAGGATACATGCGAGCAGGAGGGGAACAGAGAAAAAACGAAAGCGCAAGAGACAGAAACGCAACCGATTCGGCGCCACTGGCCGGAGGCCATTTCAATATTTGCATACGCCTGCAGCATGTACGAGGATGGAAAAGGCGTGGCTCTTAAACTAGGGCTCTCGCCTCAGCGCCGCGCACACTCTTCTTTGTGCAGACGGATGGTGTTCCTTGCCCAAGTGGGACTCTCGCCGCGGCGCCGCGCACATGACCACCAACCCGCATAGCAAGGATGGGCAACCTTCCCAAACATCCTTGCCTCCTCGGTCTATCCTTGGCCACTTTCGTTGGCCGCGCCCCGCTCGAAAATCTTCGACATGGGCGTCCGGGGCCCTCGCATCCGTGTCGCGCATCCTCTTGATGCGGGCCGGCTGTGTTCCTGAGTGCCCGCAAGAATCACACGGGTGGGGGGCGGCTCTCTTTGAACACGGGGCTCCCGCCGTGCCGCCGCGCACGTTCACCGCACGCGCTCACAAGAACGGCAAGGATGAAGGGCGGTTCCTGCTCAGCTCGGCGACGAGCGAGGGGGGGGAAGTGAGGCAGAAGACCCTCTCATTAGGCTCGGAAGTCCCCGGCCTTCTGAGGAGGTCTCCAAGCTCTCCCCGAAAGCAGAACAACGACTGCTCAGAAGGCGCGAGGGCTTCTGAGAAGTCCGGCCGCCTTCTGACAAGGCCTGCTCCTTCCCGTTTCCCCCCCTCGCTCGCCGCCGACCAACACGAGTCTCTCGCCAGGGTCCTCCAGGAGTCTGACGACCAGGAGGCTCCACACACGAAGCAGCTACACGGGCGAAGAGCGGTTCCTTTCCAGCCTGTGGCTCTTGAGGCCAGTCACCAGGAGACCTTCCACAAGAAACCCAACCCTGGGGCCCCAGGACGTCCGTCGACTCTTGGTGTGGGAGCGTCGCGCTTTCCAGGGCCAGACCGTCGCAGCCAAAGAAACCCGGGGCACCCTGGAGGCAAGCGGAGTGCTTCCTGGCCTGGGCCCCCACCGCACGCTTCCTCCGGCTCGGGGAGGGAGGAGGAGGGAGGAGGAGGAGGGAGGAGGAGGAGGGAGGAGGAGGGAGGAGGAGGAGGGAGGAGGAGGAGGGAGGAGGAGGGAGGGAGGAGGAGGGAGGAGGGGGCGGTTGCTTCTCAGAGGGGGGCTCTCGCTGGACACGTCGCTAAACTTTGCGGTCATGACTCTTCGCGCTGCTCACGACCTGCTCGGAGGGCGCAGGGCAGCTCCCTCTTCAAACGATGCTCTCGCCCGAATGGCAGGTCCCTCGGGTGCTCGTCCTTCAAGGGGGCGCTTGCCCAGGTGAACAGGAAGGCTCGCAGGGACCTGTGCAGAGGGGGACTTCGCACGAGGGGGGTCCCGCAGCAGCACTCTGGTCCTGTTGCTCCTCCTCCTCCTCCTCCTCCTCCTCCTCCTCCTCATCCTCCGCCTTCTCGCCGCTCCTCGGCTCGCCGCCTCAGCTGCCTGTCCCCGCGGCTCCACTGGCACAGGTGACAGCGGTGGCAGTCGACTCCCAGCAAGCAGCCCGCCTGACTCCGCTCTCGTTTTGCGCCGAGGACGGCAACGACACGAGCAGGACGCAGCGTCAACCCACGAGGAGCATTGCGGGCGGGCGAGGCGAGCAGCCTGCAAAGGCAAGGGAGGAGTAGGAGCACGAAGCGGGGGGGAGCAGGAGCCGGGATGGGGGAATAGGTGCAGGGGGCGGAGGAGGGAGGAGGATCACGAGGTCGGCGTCGTCGCGCGTGTTGCTGCATTCCTTCGTCCGTCGCCGTCGCTGTGTCGGTCGTCGTTCTGGCCGTCGTCTTCCGTCTTCGTCGTCGTCGTGTTTCCTTTTCCCCGGCCTCGTGCCCCTCCGCGGGCGCGCGCGAGGCAACCCAGACTCCTGGAATCCCAAGAGTCCGAAGAGTGGGAGCGGGAGACCGGCGAGGGGGACAAGGAGGGGGACGAGGGAGGTAAAATGGGGGAGGGAGGACGCGGAGGAGAAATCACACGGATGGTGGCGATGAGGGGGACGGAGGACCCAGACCCCCGATTTGTTCATGTTGTCGACACCCGGGAGGTCTCGACCCATTCCTCGCCATCGCTCGGACGTGCATTCCCCGTGCATTTTTCGATTCCGTGCGTGTGGGTTTTCGCTGGACGATCAATTATGCTCCTCGATGGTCCTCGTCGAGAGAAGAATGCACAAATCCGAGACTTGCCACGATTCTCCTCCTGGACCCAGTTCTCATCCTAGGTAGTTGTGCTGACGGTCCCAAAGGCGGCCTCTCAAGGGAAATTCGCCTGGCGAAGGCCCCAACCATGCGCAGATGTGAGTACCGCAGTTGTGGACATCGTCTTCGATGGCGCTCCCTATGGGGCCACCGCGTGGGTGGCATACAGAAAAATATGTGGCGGGGACGCATGGGAACGTCGCCACTGGGGCCCTAGGTGGAGCTCCCTGTGGGGCCACGACT